CTAATTTTACTTCTTGATGATTATTTAGTATGCAGGAAAGACAAGCATTTCACAGATTTCGTTTTGTTACTGTCCACTTCACTGATTTCTTTTGCTTCTAACAGCATACGATTGATTCGCCAGAGCTTTCCAGGCAATGACATAGTGACACCAAACCCTTCTCCACTCTCACGTTTTATTTTTCAGCCCCTCTCAGTATTTTCTTGTTAACTACAATGCTTACGTTGAGATCACTTTCTTCCTCCTTGTAATTTTATAATATTGAGGCTTCTTTGAAAATTTGGACTATATCATGAAATTTCATTAAAGCTTTTTCTCAGAATCTCTAGGTGACCATTCCCCCCGCCCACCTGAATCTTAAATGTTATCTATGGTAATGGATTTGTTAGTATTAAATCATTTTGGGATTTGGGAAAGCTCCATGGCGTCCTGTTCTTTTAAAATACATTATCAGGTTCTGATTGCTATTGTTCTAAGGTGCTTGTATTCACTGATAGCACAATAATCTACAATAAATAAATAAGGAAGATGCTTGTATTCAGATTTAATTTGGTCATAGTTTTTGTGTGTGCTTTGTTCAATTTCGGTATCAGAATAAGGACCCTTTTGTATACAAAAAAAAAAAAAAAATAGGGTGGACTTTCTTCTCTCTCTACACCCTGGGAGAGTTTAAATAGCATCAGGTAGTAGGGTAGGAAGTCAGGGACAGCCTGCTTTGCCCTTGATTCACCATACAGCTTCCAGACTCCATCCTCATTTCGTGCTGATTGCTTATTCGTAGAGGGGTAGTTGGATTTCAAATTTCAAAAAAAATTTGTAATTCACTGGTCACATTTTTTTCTATTTTCTATTTTGGGTTTTCTCAAGTTTTAATTTTTTTCATTTTTGATTTTTGGAGGTATATAGTAGGTATATATATTTATGGGGTACATGAGACATTTTGATACAGGCCTACAACTTGAAATAGGCATATCATGGAGAGTGGGGTATCCATCCCCTTAAGCATTTATCCCTTGTGTTACAAACAATCCAATTATACTCTTTTAGTTACTTTAAAATGTACTATTAAATTATTATTGGCTATAGTCACTCTGTTTTGCTACCAAATAGTATGTCTTCATCATTCTATTTCCTTGTACCCATTAACCATGCCTACTCCCACCACTACCGTTTCCATCCTTCTATTCTTTATGCCCATGAGTTCAATTGTTTTGATTTTTAGATCCCACAAATAAATTAGAACACGTGATGTTCGTCTTTCTGTGCCTGACTTATTTCACCTGACATATTGATCTCCAGTTCCATCTATGATATTGTTAATGACAGGAACTCATTCTTTTTTATGACTGAATAGTATTCCATTGTACACACTCCAAATGTGTATATGTATCACATTTTCCTTATCCATCGATCTACTGATGGACACTTAGGTTGTTTCCAAATGCTGGCTATTGTAAAACATGGGAGTGCAGATATCTCTTCAATATACTGAATTCCTTTCTTTTGAGTATATACCTAGCAGTAAGATTGCTGGACCATAGGGTAGCTCAATTTTCAATTTTTTGAGGAACATCCAAACTTTTCTCCATAGTGGCCGTACTAACTTATATTCACACCAATACTTATATGACGGCTCCCTTTTCTCCACATCGTTGCCTATCTTTTGGATATAAGCCATTTTAACTAAGGTATTAAAATCTAATTGTAGTTTTGATTTGCATTTCTCTGATGATCAATGATGTTGAACACCTTTTCCTATGTCTATTTCCCATTCATATGTCTTCTTTTGAGAAATATCTAATGAAATATTTTGCCCATTTTTGATTGATTATATTTTTTCTTTCTTTTTTTTTTTTTCTTTCTTTCTTTTTTTTTTTTGAGATGGAATCTTACTCTTGTTGCCCAGACAGGAATGCAAATGCGCGATCTCAGCTCACTGCAACCTCCACCTCCCAGGTGGAAGTGATTCTCCTGCCTCAGCCTCCCGAGTAGCTGGGATTACTTTTTTGTTTGTGCACCACCAAACCCGGCTAGTTTTTGTATTTTTAGTTGAGACAGGGTTTCACCGTGTTGCCCAGGCTGGTCTTCAACTCTGACTTCAGGTGATCCAACCACCTTGGCCTCCCAAAGTGCTGGGATTACAGGCGTGAGCCACACGTGCCTGGCTGATTTTTTTCAATAGTGTTGTTTGAGCTCCTTATATATTTGGGTCATTAATCCCTTTTCAGATGAATAGTTTGCAAATATTTTCTCTCATTCTGTGGATTGTCTCTTTACTTTGTTGATTGCTTCCCTCACTGTGCAGAAGATTCTTTTTATTATTTTATTTTTTGAGACAGGATCTCACTGTCACCCAGGCTGGAGTGTAGTGGCATAATCATGGCTCGCTGTAGCCTTGACCTCCCCAGGCTCAGGTGATCCTCCCACTACAGACTCTGGAGTAGCTGATACTGTAGGCACACACCAGCACAACCAGCTAATTTTTCTCTTTTTGTAGAGATGGGGATTTACCATGTTGCTCAGGCTGGTCTCAAACTCCTGGGCTCAAGTGATCTGCCCACCTCAGCCTCCCAAAGTGCTAGGATTAAAGGCCTGAGCCACTATACATGGCCACAGAAGTGAACTTGATGTGATCCCGTTTGTCCTTTTTGTGTTGGTTGCCTGTGCTTGTGGGGTATTGCTCAAGATATTTTTGCCTAGACCAATGTTTTTGAGATTTTCCCCAATGTTTTCTTATAGTAGTTTCATAGTTGGACATCTTAGATGTAAGTCTTTAATCCAGTTTGATATGATTTTTGTATATGGTGAGAGATGGGGGTCTAGTTTCATTTTTTGGCATGTGGATATCCAGTTTTCCCAGCAGCATTTACTGAAAAGACTCTCTTTTTCCCAGTGTATGTTCTTGGGAAAAAATGAGTTTGTCAAAAATGAGTTCACTATAAGTGTGTGGATTTGTTTCTGGCTTCTTTATTCTGTTCCCTTATTCCATATGTTTGTTTTTATGTTAGTATCATGCAGTTTTGGTTACGATATCTATGTAGTATGATTTGAAATCAGGTAATCCAATTTAATAGTTACAATGACCCTGTGAGGTATACACTATCATAGTGAGACCTCATCTCTACAAAACTTAAAAATTTAACCAAGCATGATGGCAAGTGCCTATAGTGCTGTAACTGCCAATTGCCCCACCCCCTGCTAGCCCTCCCCTACCCCCCACCCCCCAACAGGCCCCAGTGTGTTATGTTCCCCTCCCTGTGTCCATGTGTTCTCATTGTTCAACACCCATTTGTGAGTGAGAACATGCCGTGTTTTTCTGTTCTTGTGTCAGTTTGCTGAGAATGATGGTTTCCAACTTCATTCATGTCCTTGCAAAGGACATGAACTCATCCTTTTTCTTTTTTTTTAATAACAGAGAAAATAACCTTAAACTTCAAGGATGGGTGGCATGATTGATAGTGGAGCAGGAAGAGAGAATGTTTCCAGAGAGGATGATCATGTTGCTAACACTTAGAACAGATCAGTGGAAGTCCTTTGGGTTTGTTGATGAAACAATGCTCAAGGTGCAAATGACAACCCATCCTCTGGCACCCAGCACAGGTTCTGGGTGTCCTATTGCCCAACAGGGACTCTACAGGCTATGGGATCTGGGTGTGGACCACCAGCCTTTCCTCCATCTGAGTGGACTTGTGCTCATGAAGTAGCTTTTGGAAGTCCAGCAGATAGAAAGTAACATACAGAAAGAACAGACCAGAACTTGGGAACTTGGGGGCACAGGGAAGATGAAGGGTGAAAATAAGCAGGACAGGGTTTTTTCAAATGTTCTCTTAACACCGAGGCTGACACAGGTATAGATCATTCCCATAAACCACAGAGAGTTTGTTGGGAAACTCTCCTCTCCCCATCTTTTGGGACTATAGATCTTCAACATCTATTTAGTTATCTAGGTGCATTTTCTCAACTTTGGTAATTCTGCGGGGAGGGGAGAGCCGTCACCACCAGAAAGATTGTGGTGATGTCTCAGTTTGGCTTGCCCTTGGCTACCAGCCAAGATCAGACAGAAGCATAGGTGCTGTAATGTCTACGCAGCAGAACAGAGTGGAAGGAGGTTCAGACTCAATCCTAGAAGACTCAAGTTCTATTCAAAGCCCACTCAAATGGCATCACCTGTGGAAAATCTTCCTTGGTGCTTCAGAGCAGGCAGTGTCCTTTGCCCTGAGATGGACATATGATGGTATTTACTTAGCTGATTTCCTGTTACTCTTCCCCAATGGACAGCAGACTGGCTGCTTGAGAGCAGGGATTCTTTTCCCATTAATCAGTGTATCCTATTTAGAATGATGTGTTAGTTATCTTTTGCTGCATAAAACCTTCCACTCTCTATGGATTAAAATTACAAACATCTTTATTATTTATCACAGTTCTGTAAATTATCTGTACAATTCTTATGGTCTGGGTCAGCCTGACTGGGGTTGGATATAGTCTAGTATGGCTTTACTCATGTGTCTGGAAGTCGGCAGGCTGGCTGATCTGTGGACAGGGCTCAACTCGGATCATTCATTTGTGTTCCACATGGTCTCTGATCCCTTGGTAGGCTAGCCCAGGCTTCTTTACTTGGTGGCCTCAACTCCACAGAGCAGCAAGTGATGCAAGTTCTGATACACAGACTATTACCAAACCTCTGACTGCATCACATTTACTAATGTCCCATTGGCCAAAGCAAGTTATAAGGTCAAGATAAAATTTAAAGGAGAGAGGCCAGGCATGGTGGTTCACACTTGTAATCCCAACACTTTGGGAAGTCGAGGAGGGCAGATCACCTGAGGTCAGGAGTTCCAGACCAGCCTGGCCAAGATGGTGAAACGCTGTCTCTACTAAAAATACAAAAATTAGCTAGGTGTAGTGGCGGGCGCCTGTAATCCCAGCTACCTGGGAGGCTGAGGCAGGAGGATTGCTTGAACCCGGGAGGTGGAGGTTGCAGTGAGCTGAGATCACACCATTGCACTCCAGCCTGAGCAACAGAGTGAGACTCCATTTAAAGGCGGGGGGGGAGAACAAAAACAAATTTAAGGCATAGAGATATAGACTTCGTCTCTTCATAGGAGCAGCTGCAAAGTCACATTATCAAGAGGAATTTATGGTCATTTTTGCATTATTCTACAAAATCTTATTTGGTACACAGTAGGTAATCAAGAATGCATGTTGCAAGAATTAAGAAGTAAAGTCTATTCAAATAATTTTCATGTTCACCTCTCATCCCTCCCCATGGGCACATCTATTTCCATGCTTCCTACTCATGGTTGGGATCTTCGAATTGGGAGAAAATATTCTCTAATGGTTTGAAATGTTTGTTGCCTCTAAATATGCGTGGCTCCTTTCTATCTGAGTTTCTTCACACTGGTCATCTTGGCCTTACCCATCTCAACACTGGAGCCATGCACAACTTTCTGGCTTGTGGATTATGTACCCACTCTTAGTGTTTGCGTTTTGAACAGAACCAGAAAAGGGAAAACCCGTTGTCTGCCAAAGCGTGGACAGTCTTAGCTGGCTGCACTTCCTTCTGCCAGTTGCTGTCACTTGGGGCCCTCTGGTGGCTTCTTCTTGCATAGTTCCACGCCGGGTATGAAATTCACTGTGCCAATTATTATAAGGGGGGATAGAATCCAGAGCCTTCCAAGGGAAAGCTCACAATGTAGTGGAATGCCACATGTGAAAAGAAGAAGTAAACAAAATAAAGTTTTAAAAAATTACCATTTAGAGCTTGTAGCCAGTGAGTCCTTTCTTGTTTCATCATGACTTGGCCCAGAGAAAAGGTAAAGCAGTGACATAAAGATAATGCATATAAAAGAGATCCAGCTGGGCACAGTGGCTCATGCCTGTAATCCCAGCACTTTGCAAGGCAGAGGCGGGAGGATCACTTGAGGTTGGGAGTTCGAGATCAGCCCGACCAACATGGAGAAACCCCATCTCCACTAAAAATTCAAAAAGTAGCCGGGCCTGCTGGCACATGCCTGTAATCCCAGCCACTCATGAGGCTGAGGCAGGAGAATCACTTGGACCTGGGAGATGGAGGCTGTGATGAGCCGAGATCTCACCATTGCCCAAGAGCGAAAATCCATCTCAAGAAAAAAAAAAAAGAGATCTGTTTCATTAAAAGTCAGGTGCTGGTGGGCAAGGAGCAGTGCCATGCTCACTGAATAAACGTGGTGGAGTTAGAAAAGGGGAGAGAGTCTCCTGACTTCAGCAGCTCATCCAGGGCCTGGTACGTCCCCACCACAAAACCCACGAAGCCCAGGATGCTGATCAGGGCGTCCTTGAAGATGGTGAGGGGGCTCATGCCCTCTGAATAGAAGGTGGTGACCTCCAGGAGGGGTGGGATGATGAGGGCCAGGGCGCTGCTGCTCACGGAGCCCACCAGGGCGAGGACCAGGTCCAGGCGGGGGATGAGGATGGCCAGGAGGCCTGCATGGAGAGAATAGGGGACAGATGGAGAATTCCAGGCTTAGCCAAACTTTGAAAGTTTGTTCTTAAAATCCTCTTCTTGGCTGGGTGCAGTGATTCACACCTGTAATCTCAGCAGTTTGGGAGGCCAAGATGGGCAGATCACTGAAGGTTGGGAGTTCAAGACCAGCCTGTCCAACATAGTGAAATCTTGTTTCTACTAAAAATACAAAAATTAGCTGGGTGTGGTGGTGGGTGCCTGTAATCTCAGCTACTCAGGGGGCTGAGGCAGGCGAATCACTTGAACCTAAGAGGCAGAGGTTACAGTGAGCCAAGATAGTGCTACTACACTCCAGCCTGGGTGATAAAGTGAAGTCCTGTCGCATTTAAAAAAAAAAAAAAAAGAAGAGGCAGAGAGGAAACAAGATGGCTGAATAGACACAACTCCAGTGCACAACACCTAGCGAGAGAGACGCAGAAATCGAGAGATCTCCTAGCTCCAACCAGGTACCAGGTGCATTTCAACAGGTCTGGTCAGACAGTGAGCAAAGCCCAGACAGGGCAGACTGAGGTGGGGAAGGGTGCTGCTTCACCCAGAAAGTGCATCAGACCAATGAGTTGGAGGCTTCCCCTCCAGCACCCCGGTCCAGATACAGCGTTTTCCCCAAAGCCTCAGAAATCCACAGAACAGGGGATCTTTGCCAGTCAAGTGCTGGGAATTACAAGTGCAGAGTTGAATAATGATCCAGGACTGTGTCCCAGATTGTTGCACAGAGCTAAGCAAACACATAAGTGCATAAGCCCACTGGGAGAGGCTGCAGACTGAGCTATCGCTCCCTTCCCCTGCCTGGAGAGGGAGGGAGCTGAAAGCGGGTGGATGGACGGTGCAGCTGGGCAGATACCTACCCTCCCCCACAAACCCCAGAGGGCTGAAGCACTAACTCTAGCAGGTTACGCAGCCAGTGGCTCAGTCTCAGCTGAACCCTGAATGATCCAGCTCCATGGAGCAAAGGCACAACTGACCATTAAAGAGGCGGGACTAGGCTTCATGTTTTAACAAAAAACACAGGAAGCCTACGTAGCAACAAGGTGGTGTTCTTGACTACCCAGCAGCACCTCCAGGTCAGCAGAAAAGGCAGGCCTAGCCTCCCAGTGTGAACAAAAAAGACACAGGAAGCCTGCCTAGCAACCTGAAGGAATCCCTGGAAACCTGCCTCGACAGGCAGACAAGTGGCTTTATCAAGCAGCTCCCTGAGATCAGAGATAGATAAATCCATGAAGATGGGAAAACAAAACAGCGCAAAAAAGATGAAACCATCAAAGACCAGAATACCTCTTCTCCTCAAGGGATCACAACTCCTCATCAATACGCGAACACGACATGACTGAGAAAGAGTGAGACGAATTGACAGAAACGGGCTTCAGAAGGTGGATAATAACAAACTTTTCTGAGCTAAAGGAACACATTCTAACCCAATGCAAAGAAACTAAAAACCTTGAAAAAAAAGGTTAGACGAAATGCTAACTAGAATAACCACCTTAGAGAAGAACATCAACGATTTGATGGAGTTGAAAAACACAGCACGAGAACTAAGTGAAGCAAACATAAGTTTTAATAGCCAAGTCAATCAAGCAGAAGAAAGGAAATCAGAGATTGAAGATCAATTCAATGTAATAAAGAGAAGACAAGAGAACAAAGAGTGAAAAAAAAATGACCAAAGCCTCCAAGAAATATGAGATTATGTGAAAAGACATAATCTATGCTTGATAGGTGTACCTGAATATGACAGGGAGAATGAATCCAAGCTGGAAAATATGCTCCAGAATATTATCCAGGAGAACTTCCACAGCCTAGCAAGGCAGGCAAACATTCAAATCCAAGAAATACAGAGAACTCCACAAAGATATTCCTCAAGAAGAGCAACCCCAAGGCACATAATCGTCAGATTCACCAGGGTTGAAATGAAGGAAAAAATGCTAAGGGCAGCCAGAGAGAAGGGTCAGGTCACCCACAGAGGGAAGCTAATCAGACTCACAGCAGATCTCTCAGCAGAAACCCTACAAGCCAGAAGAGAGTAGGGGCCAATATTCAACATCCTTAAAGAAAAGAACTTTCAACCCGGAATCTCATATCCAGCCAAACTAAGCTTCATAAGTGAGAAGAAATAAAATCCTTTACAGACAAGCAATTACTGAGAGATTTCGTCACCACCAGACCTGCCTTACAAGAGCTCCTGAAAGAAACACTAAACACAGAAAGGAACAAGTACCAGCCACTGCAAAAGCACATCAAATGGCAAAAACCAAATATGCAATGAAGAAACTGAGTCAACTAATGGGCAAGAAAACCAGCCAGTAACAATATGGCAGGATCAAATTCACACATAACAATTTTAACGTTGAATGTAAATGGCCTAAATGCCCCAATCAAAAGACACAGACTGGTAAACTGGATAAAAAAATCAAGACCCATTGGTGTGCTATCTTCAGGAAATCCATTTCACATACAAAGACACATATAGACTCAAAAGAATGGAAGAAGATTTGTCAAGCAAATGGAGAACAAAAAAAAGCAGGGGTTGCAATCCTAGTCTCTGATAAAATGGACTTCAAACCAACACAGATCAAAAGAGATAAAGAAGGGCATTACATAATGGTAAAAGGATCAATCCAACAAGAAGAGATAACTATCCTAAATATATACACACCCAACACAGGAGCACCCAGATACATAAAGAAAGTTCTTAATGACCTAAAATGTGATTTAGTCACCCACACAGTAATAGTGGGAGATTTCAACACTCCACTGTCAATATTAGACAGATCGACAAGACAGAAAATTAACAACAACATCCAGGACTTGAATGCAGAGCTGGACCGAGTGGACCTAATAGTCATATACAGAATGCTCCACCCCAAATCCACAGAATATACATTCTTCTCAGCACCACATTGCACTTACTCTAAAATTGACCACATAATTGGAGGCAAATCACCCTTCAGAAAATGCGAAAGAATGGAAATCATAACAAACAGTCTATCAGACCACAGCACAATCAGATTAGAACTCAGGATTAAGAAACTCACTCAAATCTGCAGAACTACTTGGAAACTGAACAACTTGCTTCTGAGTGTCCACTGGATAAACAATGAAATGAAAGCAGAAATAAAGATGTTCTTCGAAACCAATCAGAATGAAGACACAACTTACCAGAATCTCTGGGACACCTTTAAAGCAGTGTCAAGAGGGAAATTTATAGCAATAAATGCTCACATGAGAAACAAGGAAAAGATCTAAAATCAACACCCCATCTTCAAAATTGAAAGAGCTAGAGGAGCAAGATCAAAAAAACTCAAAAGCTAGCAGAAGACAAGAAATAGCTAAGATCAGAGCCAAACTGAAGGAGATAGAGACACAAAAAACCCTTTAAAAAATCAATAAATCCAGGAACTGGTTTTTTGGAAAGATCAACAAAATAGACTGCTAGCCAGACTAATAAAAAAGAAAAGAGAGAAGAATCAATTAGATGCAATAAAAAATGATAAAGGGGATATCACCACTGATTCCCCAAAAATACAAACTACCGTAAGAGATTACTACAAACGACTCTATGCACACAAACCAGTAAACCTGGAAGAAATAGATAAATTCCTGGACACTTCTACCTATGAAGGCTAAACCAGGAAGAAGCTGAAACCCTGAATAGACCAATAACAAGGGCTGAAGTTGAGGCAGCAATCAATAGCCTACCAACCAAAAAAAGTCCAGGTCCAGATGGATTCACAGAAATATTCTACCAGATGTACAAAGAGGAGCTGGTTCCATTCCTTCTAAAACTATAGCAAACAATACAAAAAGAGGGAATCCTCCCTAACTCATTTTATAAGTCCAACAGCATCCTGATACCAAAACCTGGCAGAGACTCAACAAAAAAAGAAAACATCAGGCCAATATCCATGATGAACATGGATGCAAAAGTCTTCAATAAAATACTGGCAAACTGAATGCAATAGCACATCAAAAAGATCATTCATCACGATCAAGTAGGCTTCATCCCAGGGATGCAAGGCTGGCTCAATGTACACAAGTCCATAAACGTAATCCACATAAACAGAACCAAAGACAAAAACCACATAATTATCTCAATAGATTCAGAGAAGGCCTTTGACAAAATTCAACAGTTCTTCATGCTAAAAACTCTCAATAAACTAGGTATCAATGGAACATATCATAAAATAATAAAAGCTATTTATGACAAACTCACAGCCAATATCATACTGAATGGGCAAAAGCTGAAGCATTCCCTTTGAAATCAGGCACTAGACAAGGATGCCCTCTCTCACCACTCCTATTCAATATAGTATTGGAAGTTCTAGCCAGAGCAATCAGGCAAGAAAAAGAAATAAAGGGTATTCAATTAGAAAAGGAGGAAGTCAAACTGTCTCTATTTGCAGACGATGTGATTGTATATCTAGACGACCCCATTGTCTCAGCCCCAAATCTCCTGAAACTGATAAGCAACTTCAGCAAAGTCTCAGGATACAAAATCAATGTGCAGAAATCACAAGCATTCCTATATACCAATAACAGACAAAAAGAGAGCCAAATCAAGAGTGAACTCCCATTCACAATTGCTACAAAGAGAATAGAATACTTAGGAATACAACTAACAAAGGATATAAAGGACCTCTTCAAGGAGAACTACAAACCACTGCTCAACGAAATAACAGAGGACACAAACAGATGGAAAAACATTCCATGCTCATGGTTAGGAAAAAACAATATAGTGAAAATGGCCATATTGCCCAAAGTAATTTATAGATTCAACACTATCCCCATCAAGCTACTAATGACCTTCTTCACAGAACTGGAAAAAACCACTTTAAACTTCATATGGAACCACAAGAGAGCCCACACAGCCAAGACAATCCTAAGCAAAAAGAACAAAGCCAGAGGCATCATACTGCCGGACTTCAAACTATACTACAAGGCTACAGTAATCAAAACAGCATGGTACTAG